AAAAAAAAAAAGCTTTCATATTTATAATGTTTAATTTATTTATGAAATTAATCTTCATTCTAAAATGAAAAACAAAGAAATTCCGAGAAGTAACTTGCCCGAAGTAAGTCAGCAGGTGGAACTGGAAGATGTTTCCTAGTCTAATGATAACAAGGTCCATGTATATTAACAATCAACTTTAAAGACTAAAATATGAAAATAATACATCAGTCTACTTCATTGCAATTTAGGCAAACCTATACTAAGGATGAACAAAGTAATTTTTATATTTCCTACCTCCTTCTGCTTTAGGTATTAATTCAGTTCCACAAGCAATACAATAAAGTCCTGACTGGCAAGTCGGGTTACTTGGGTCCTTTTACACAGTCAATGTTTGGAAGAATGGTTAATATTTAGGTATGAATACCATAAGACAGTTTGAAAAAAAAGAGAAAATATACCAGGGTAATACTTGATACAAAATAATAATAATAATTAGTATTTAATATCCTTAAATCTTTTCAAGTACTAAGAATAATATATAAATGATGGCATCTAACTTAGTTTGCATGAATTATACTCTGCATATACAATCTTATACTTTATAATAGCAAGAAGCCAAATTAAAATAAACATTTTAATATTGAGTTTTGTAAATACTGATACAAAATAATTTAATGTGAAGTGATGAAATTCTGGGAAAAAACATGAGAATCAAAAATCATATAAACTGCTTAGAAAAGACCAAGATAAAAAAAATTACAAATTTATTATGAAGACTACTAAGATATCTATCTACATGACTATGCCTTCTTAATAAGTATTCCTTTTAATCAATATTTACCATTAGATTTTCAAAGGTTAATTTCTGGAAATGGTAAGTTTCATACAGCTTTTCCTTCTAATACATTGAAGATTGTTTACTATAGAGTGGAATTTGGTATAAGATGGACTGTTCTGGACCTAGTCCAATAGTTTAGCTACTGAAAGCACTTCATTATTAGGAGGTTTCACCAATACGGTGATCCACTGGCTCAGATCCTTTGGATATTATAACAAGGCTCCACTGTAGAGTACAGGAAGCCAGGCAGCTAATGGTTTGTTCTTTCAAGTGAAAGCTTAAGAAAGAAAATTCCATTTTTTTGGTAGGCATGAAAATCATTTAAGGCTAGAGAATCAATAAGCCTAGGTCATCTGTCTAAATTTCCATTTCCTAAAGTGATAGCCTCTATGGTATGCTTAACAGCTGCACCGATACTTCATGCTATGGTTTTATCTTCCTTACACATTCATTGTCTGATAACAATATTAAGTTTACTTTTTAGTATGAAAATTTTCAGTATTAATACTTTCTATATACAAAAGATTGACTGCATTTGTCTATGAAAATAGACAAAAAACTACCAAGAATTCATAAAGTTTAAAGTAAAATCTTGTTTAGCTCATTAATAAATCTGAGATTAAGAGCGCGAGCAATTGTTAAGGTAAAGATATACACACACCAAAAAATGACATCACTAAGACTGAATAACTACAATAACCAGTCTTTCCAGTGATTTTACATCAAGCACTTTGTTTTTGTAAAATTTGATAAGCAATCCTAAAGCATGAAATATTTTTAACGTGTTTTACTATAGGAAAATAACATGACATGGTCATATTGCGGGAAAATAATATGGGAAAGCCTTTTAAGAAATTAATGTCTTGCGAGATCATAAGACAAAGCCTTATGTGAACTCTGAAACAGTGCCAAATTAAAAACCATGTAATAATTAAAGGCATAGTAGTTGGTAAGAGTTGTCATTAATTTCCAACATAGCTATAACAAGTTTTAAATGATTCTAAATTTCAAAAGTCAAGAAAGGAAACATCTACGCTTTATATTGTACCTTTCTTCCATGAATAAAGCACTTTTTCTAACTGGTAGTTTTCCTGGTTCGTGGCCTGTATGCTCTATATACTTTCAGCCCTTAAATAAATTCAGTATTGGACAATTACTTCATATGCATTAAATAGGTAAGGCAAATTACCTGATAAGCAATTTCTATCTTAAATATCTCAAAAGTCGTAAAGGATAAACCAAATAATTTTTTCTTCCTACCATATAACAATTATTTTATTTATTCACTTTTTAACTTCATTTTTATTGACACTATTACAGATGTCCCCACCCCATGCCCCATTTGCTCACCTCCACCCAGATCCTGCCCTCCCTTCCCTCTGGCCATCACATACAAGATTCTTTATTGTTGGTTTATCTATCTATCTATCTTTATCATCACCATTAGGAAAAGCTCCATAGAAAGAAAGGGTATACTCCAGATACATTATTGATTTACTAATAACTGATAACTTGCCATGTGCCAGATATTCTTTTAAATGCATTTACATGTTTTAACTTATTTAACTCTCTAAAAGAGCTCTTTAAAAAGTATGTAATCACTAATGAAAATGTTCTAACTCCTCCCCTATTATAAAGGCTAGTACTTTACTTATTGCAATGTTATCCTGGTCAAAGTTATGATCTAAGGAGACCATATACCTGATTGAAAACTGACATCATTGTACAAAATTTTTGAAATTACTAAAAGCTGTGGTACATCACTACATACATTCCAAATGATAGAAATTTTTAGCATTGGACAGAGCTTGGAAGGAATAAATATTACTTAGGGAGAGGGGATGGTACTTGAGATCAAGTTGGATAATAACACTAAGATATGATTAAAAACCAGAATGTTTGTTTTTTTTTCATGTAGATCCAAAAAATGTTTTAATCACAGGGTCCAGAAAGTGTTTTAATCACAGCATTGTTCAAATAAATATCCTGCTTCTCAAGTTATTATGGATATAGTCATATAATTATTCCCTGAAGGTAGATGAGTGTCATTTCACCTATTCTATAAAATGGTTTGCTTTACTTTACTCAAGTAATTGAAGATGAATTTAGAGTAAAATACCTCTAAATTATGGATTTTTAAAGCTGACAGATTTTCATGATTTTGTAGTACTACATTCTGCATTTCACAGTTAAAACATTCCCCAAAAGGCATAGTAATTGCCAACATGATTAAGCGAATTAGTGGGAGAGCCAGGAATAGAGCCAAAATCTCTTCCTCCACCTTGGTATTGCTTCTACTACCCCACTACTCTTATTTGTGAATTTAAAAATATACCAGAGAGAAGACATGGTTACACTCTTTCAAAAAGGTAATTTAGAAATTATCTTCTAATGTAATGTTTTGTAGGATTACTTACTGATCAACTCAAAAAATATGTAATACTAGGTGGGATATAATACATACAAATCTACAGATGACTTCTTTAACTGAAAATTATCAATTTAAATTTCTTTGAACTATGCTTACAGTGTAACATCCAATGCTATAGACACAGTTAAGCTGTATTCAATCTAAATACCATCAAAATAACAGTAAACATATACACATATAATAATTCATTACCCAAATAAATATAATAGAAACTTGATTGCTGGGAATTCTGACTTGAAAATAATAAACCACATCCATAACTTGAACAGCTCATAAAATTTCAATTCCAGTAACTCACAAGAAGCCTAAATGTCCATAAAATAACATGTTTCTTAAAAGATTAGTGAATGTAATTTTGAAATGATGTCAGAGAAGAATACCTTTTACAATCATTTTTGATAAGTATAGCTTCATTAAAAAAAAAATTGTCAAAACTTACAGAAAGACCTAGTGAGTTTTAAGGAAACATTTTTCCAGCTACAGTTACATGTTTACATTTACTTATCAAATTTGCATATGAAGTTTTCTATTTTAACAGCTGCAAAATAAAGCCTTTATGCTAGAAGATGTCACTTCCCCCCCAGTGATGATGAAGCTAGATAATTAGAATGGAAAATTTGAACTCCTTCAATTGGCACTTTATAACTTTGCATAAGTTTGTTTAAAATATACTTGATTTTAGTTTATCAAACAAACAAATGTAGAACAATGTCAATTTAAAATGCATGCATTTTTTTGCCCTGGCCAGTTTGGCTCAGTGGTTAGAGCGTCGGCCTGCGGTCCAGAGAGACCCAGGTTCGGATCCCGCTAAGGGCACGTACGTCGGTTGCAGTTTGTCCCCGGCCCTGGTTGGTCGTGCGGGTGGCAGCCACTCGATGTGTCCCTTCACGTCGATGTTTCTCTCTCTCCCTCCCACTCTATCTGTACAAAAAAATGGAAAAATATCCTCGAGTGAGGATAAAAAAATAAAAAATAAAATGCATGCATTTTTTTGCCTGGCTACTGTGGCATCAACCCACGTTGTACCAAGAGGTCGCCGGTTAGATTCCGAGTCAGGGCACATGCCCAGGTTGTGGGCCAAATCCCCAGTGGGGGGCATGCAGGAGGCAACAAATCAATGTTCTCTATCATTGATGTTTCTATCTCTCTCTCCCTCTCCCTTCCTCTCTCTAAAATCAATAAAGAAAAAAAGAATTCAAAAATAAATAAATAAAATGCACGGATTTCTTCCTTAATTCTTAATTACTATTAGGCAGTTTAATATAGAAATAAACTTTTTAAAGAAAATTTTGATTTCTTAAAAAAATGTCAGACCAATTGGAGGTAAAAATCCATACTAAAATATGACTGAATTAAACTATTAATTTTTATGTATCATATGAAAACAAATGGATGAAGAGAACTACAATATACAAATATTTATGTAAAATTTTAAATGCCCTAGACAACTATGTATCTTTTTAAAGACTGACAGATTTTGAATTGCACTTAGCTAAGGAAGACTTGTTGAGGAAAATATTTTGAATGAATCACTTTATCAAAATTCAAGAATAGTAAAACTTACATTTCAGAACATAATGTACTTTTAAAATTCTAATGACAATTAAAGTAAATATATCTCAAATTTTTAAAATGATACCATTTAGCCAATGTATAAATAACCGTTTATAATAGAATTATACATAAGTACAGTAACATATATTTATAGCTTGACAGTTAAGTATTAACTAACACCAGAAAACACACCTTTATTTTTGGAAGGAGATTGTTTAAAGTTCTTTATATCCATTTAACAAGTTTTTCCTAGTTTCAATTCATTTATATTAGTTGTTTTAATATTACTACCAATGTCATCAACTTTACTTTCTTCAATACGCATGAGTCTACTGAACTTTGTGTCTGGGCAATCCTCGGCTTTCATTTTCCTGACTGAATCTACTTCTTTCGTAGTCCTAATTTCAAAAAGATCTTCAGCTAAAATACATTTTGAATTATTAGCCAATTTAGTGTCTCTATCAGTTTCAACTACTTCATTTTTTTCTTCATTTATATCTACAGGATCATAAAGTTCAGGTGTAAAATAGACAGATTCATCTTCTGCTTCTGTTTCAAAATCTCTATTTGCAGTAGAAAGTGTATCTTCTTCACTTACTAGAGACAATTCAATGTCTGGATCCAGGGCTGCTTCGCAGCAGAAAAGCTGTTTGGAATGATCCTTTTTAAGAAGAGCAGTTTCAATTTTTATTGAGGGAATAACAGTTTCTGACTGAGGGCATGGTTCAAATGATGTGTTTACACTTAGAGATGAAGACTCAAATTTATCAGTGAGTGGCAAAACAGTTGTACAGACCTTTTCTGCTTTGAAAGTGTTAGAACTAGAGACACAGTCCTCTGATGACCTAAACTTAGGTGTTGTAGTCAGATTTTTACCAGTAAGACACTGTCCCAAAGAATTAAAAACAGACCAGCTAACTCTGTTTGTTTGTTTGTTGAAGGTTGGGCTTGAGGATCGGGAAATCACAATGTTTTCTGCTTGCATTGCCTGGCCAGACTCTTTCAATAATACTGGATCATCTATGAATACAAAATTTAAAAAATGTTAACTTTCTGTTCCTAACACAGTAATTATTCTATTAAAATGATTTTTGTTAGAAATTGTACAATAACAGTATAGGATACATAACCAGTAGTAGCAGGACTTTCATCTTAGAATGTAAAGTATAAAATATTAACTAAAAAGAATCTGAGGTCTCTAATGAGTCCTAACCCAAATTATAAATTTTCAAATTCCACACTGGGAATCTCAGGAGTGAATGAGAAAAGGAGAAGTAAACAGAAAGAGGAAGAGGGCTGAGTAAAGGAGGGAACAGGCTATAACAATTTGCCCTGAAAACCCACTAACTAGTGACTGACCTAGACTAATTCCCTTAGGGAAACTGACAACTACAAAGACTAAGACATAAAACTGGTTAGTCATCAGACCTGGACTAGAACCTAGGTTTCCTGATTACTAATATAGTGACCTTGAATTCACTATGACCTTTATTGCGAATAGGAGCATATACTACAAAACAAATATTTAAAAATTGATACATTAAACTACCATATATTAATTAAAACAATTGAAATAATACCCAGTGATATAGACCACAGTTTGGCAAATTTTTCTATCATGGGTCAGACAGTAAATATTTTAGGTTTTGTGTGATATATTATATTTCTTGCAACTACTCAATTGTACTGTTCTAGTGTAATACATATAATTACTCAACTCTGCCTTTGTATACAATATGTAAATGAATGGATGCAACTGTCATTCATTAAACCATATTTAAAAAAATAGATAGCAGGCCAAATTTGGTCCACAGACCATTGTTTGCTAATCCCTGATACTGACCATTATATTCTAATATATTCTGGAATATTATTATTTTTAATCCTCACCCGAGCATATTTTTTCCATTGATTTGTAGACCTCGTGGAAGGGAGGGAGGGGGAGAAAGATATAGAGAGACACATTGATGTGAGAGAGACACATTGATTGGTTGCCTCCCGCACATACCCTGGTTGGGGCCAGGGATCAAACCTGCAACCCAGGTATGTGTTCTTGACTGGGAATTGAACCTGGGACCCATACCACTGAGCCATATCAGCCAGGGCTGAAATATTTTTTATCATTTAGAATAGATGACTTTCATTTCCCTGAACTAAGAAATTCATGTAAAAAAAGTATCTATAAATTAGACCAAATTTTTTTTTTATCCTCACCTGAGGACATTTTTTGATATTTTGTTCAGATAGAGTTGGAGGGAGAGAGAGACAGAGAGAGAGAAACATCGACGTAAAACGGACACACTGAATGGTTGCCACCCGCACGACCCAATCAGGGCTGGGGACAAACTGCAACTGAGGTACATGCTCTTAGCGGAAACCGAACCCAGGTCTCTCCGGACCGCAGGCTGATGCTCTAACCACTGAGCCAAACTGGCCAGGGCTAAATTAGACTAATTTTTAATACAGGCTTTAGAAAAACATCTACCATTTGTATAGTACTTCACAATGCTGTGATATTTATGTTATTAACTCTTTACAACCCAACCTTAAGGGATAGGTATGCAGATAATCCATTTTCTTTAACACTCAAAAAAGAGCGCCCGCCTGGTGTGGCTCAGTGGTTGAGCGTCGACCCATGCATCAAGACTCAAAAAAGTTAGGTGACTTGTTCCTGGTCACAATGCTAGTTGGAACCAGGAAATGAGCTCAGATCTCCTGACAAAAGGTTGTTCCCATTCCAATACACTATACTATTTCACTAATTTATGATAATACTTTACATTACAAACCAACGTATTTAAGAAAATTAATCTATAACACAAAAATACCATTTCACTAAATATAAAGGAAGACTTCTCTATCAAATGTAACTGGACAAAACTTTTCATACTTTTGTCCTTCCTAGAGGTGATGTCACTTGGTAGAGATAAACTTTTAGTTATTTGTTTTACAACACTGTAGTTCTCGAACACATGTTTTTGTTTTACCTTCCCTAGAATTTTCTGGTGCTAGATGACTTGCTGCTTCTAGTAAGTAAGTTGAGGTACTGTCCTTCAAACAAGCCACTTCAAGTGTAGACTCGCTGTCTTGCACAGACTTTCTGTTGTCTGTGGATATACCAATGACCTTTTGGTGCTTTTTGGAAAATTCAGCCAAGGACTCCAGCGCACTTTCAAAGGTTGAATGGTGCTGAATTTGCTGCCGTACCCATTTAGAAAGTCCTAAGGAAATAGGAAACCCAAGGAAGGAACTTTGGTTATTTTATTAAGATATTATGTATTAAGAAAAAACTTGGATAATTTTTCTAATGAAGTAATCTAGAATTCAGAGTATATAAAATGGTTCTCAATACTTTCCCTGCCTTTTTACTACCTTCATATGTACAATATGCTCATATATTAGTAACACTTCTCTTTACAGGCAATGATTGTCAGCTGGAGAGAGAGAAGAGGCAAAGGGAATAAAGTGAAGAGGAAATTTTTGTCAGTTCAGTTTAGAATAACAAGGAAATAAGGCAAATTTAATTTCATAATTCCCCACAAAAATCGCCTGCCATTTATTTATTTATTTACTTACTAACTTACTTACTTATATTCTCACCCGAGGACATTTTCCCATTTTTTTTGTTCAGATAGAGTGGGAGGGAAGGAGGGAGAGAGGGAGGGAGGGAGGGAGGGAGGGGGAGAGAGAGGGAGGGAGAGAGAGTGTGAGAGAGAGAGAGAGAGAGAGAGAGAGAGAGAGAGAGAGAGGGAGGGAGGGAGGGAGAGAGAGAGAGAGAGAGAGAGAGAGAGAGAGAGAGAGAGAGAAACATTGACGTGAAAGGGACACATCAAGTGGCTGCCACCCGCACGACCCAACCAGGGCCGGGGACAAACTGCAACCGAGGTACATGCCCTTAGCCGGAACCGAACCCGGGTCTCTCTGGACTGCAGGCCGACGCTCTAACCGCTGAGCCAAACTGAACAGGGATGCCTGCCTTTTTAATTGTTGGGAAACCAGAAGTTGTAAACAACACAATCTTGCATTTCTTCTTTCTAAATTTGACTTCTTTTGCAAAAATAAATTAAAAATTCCAGTCTCATAGGGTTTTGTTCTTCTTCTTTTCCCCTAATTTCAAATATACCTTAAACTACTCTGGGGGCCAAATGGAATAACACTCTTTTGTGGGCAAATCACCTCCTATCTAAATGTTATAATTATTTTAAAAATATATAAATAATCAAGTGGTGGGGACAAAATTTGACCTGTGATATATGAAAACTGCATAAAAATAAACTGTATTAAATATAAGGCATTTTATAGTATAACTCACTTCAGAATAAAATTCAAAATCAGATATTTGAACTTTTAGAAAATAAACGTTCTTTCCTAATGTTACTAAAATTATCATCATCTTTTGGAGTAATTTAAAAAGTCACTATGGTGTTTTAAGTTCACAGAAAGATAAGACAGGGCTTCAAGCAACTGGAACTACTATACTTTGATTTCAAATACATTCCTTTAGTTTGTTTTTTTTAATGGAGTTTTTCTATCAATCTATATTTATAGAAATTGAATTTAAACAGAAAATTAGTCACCAAAAGAAATTTGTATGTTGTGTTATTATTGCCTAGAAAAGAAAAATTTCACTTTGAGTCTCAAAAAAGTTAATTAATTAAAACCAAACAAAAATATAAAAAATATTTAATACAAAAAAAAAAATCTCTCAAATCTGAACTGTAAGGTAAAAGTTTAAGCTCTAGCCCTGGCCGGTTTGGCTCGGTGGTTAGAGCATCAGCCTGCGGTCTGAGAAACCTGGGTTCAGTTCCCGCTAAGGGCATGTACCTCGGTTGCAGTTTGTCCCCGGCCCTGGTTGGTCGTGCGGGTGGCAGCCACTTGATGTGTCCCTTTCACATCGATGTTTCTCTCTCTCTCCCTCCCACTCTACCTGAAGAAAAAAATGTCCTCCGGTGAGGATAAAAAAAAAAAAGTTTAAGCTCTAGATTTTAAAATAAGAAAAAAATTATCCCGGCTGGTGTGGCTCAGTTGTTGAGTGTCGACCCTTGCACCAGAAGGTCGCCAATTCGATTCCCAGTCAGGGCACATGCCCAGGTTGTGGGCCCGATCCCCAGTGGGGATCATGTAGGAGGTAGGCAATTGATGTTATCTCTTATCTCTCTCATTGATGTTTCTCTCTCTAAAAATAAAAAAAATAAAAAAAAATTGAATAAGAATTTCCTTTAAAGTTCTTTATTTTTGGCTGGGAAAATATAATTATACCACATAAAGATGAAAAGTTTTCCAAAATTGAAAAATTTTAGTACTATAGTTATACCTTCCACTTTGACCATTTTGTAATCAAAGTAAGCCTTTTCAGTGTAAAATGTCAGTTTGCTTTTGAGACTTGAAAGATTCTGAGCTCCATCTGCTGACTAAACACATGCACTCAACATTTTGTTTTTAATTATGTCTTGACCTAAGCACAGTATCTTGCTTTACATACAAAGGGAAGAAGACTGATAAAGCAGCATTTGCTGCTTTAATCTAGGTGGATATTTTATTTTTTAGAAAATATGTTTTATTGATTTTTTGAGAGAGGAAGGGGGAGAGAGAGAGAGATAGAAACATCGATCTGCTGACTCCTGCACGCCCCTTACTGGGGATCAAGCCCACAACTCAGGCATGTGCCCTGACCGGGAATCAAATCGGGACCTCTCAGTCCATGGGACAACGCTCAATCCACTGAGCCATTCTGGCCAGGTTAGGTGGATATGTTTTGATATAAAACCAAATATAGTAATTAGGCTCTGAAATGGAAAAAGTATATAGTCCATACTCATAGACAGCTAATCTGAAACAAATTTAAAATTTAGCATCTTTTCATTATAGTATGGTGTGAACTTTCTAGCACTAAAGATAATTGTAAAGGTTCAAATATGTCCAACAGTTCTGAAATAACTGATCGATTCCTGGTATTGCCTCTAAAGGGACTATGTTACTCCAAAATAAAAACTACAGATGCTCCTCGATTCATGATAGGGTTACGTCTTAAACCCTCTGTAAGTTGAAAATATCATAAGTCAAAAGTGCATTTAATACATCTAACCTACTGAACATAATAGCTTAGCCTAGTCTACCTTAAATGTGCACAGAACACTTACATTAGCTTACAGTTGGGCAAAATCATCTAATGCGATCTCTATTTTATAATGTCCAGCATCACCAGAGTATCCTGCCACATTATCACTATCCCAGGAAAAGATAAAAATTCAAAATTCAAAGCATGGTTTCTACTGAAAGCATATAACTTTTGTATCATTGTAAAGTAGAAAAATGGTAAGTCACACCATCGAAAGTCAGGTTCCACCTGAACAGAGACATAATATTTGTTCATTTGAGTGGGGGGAAAATGATCATCTATTTGATTTTGCAGCATGCAATGGTGTTTTTCCTTTTAAAAAAACACTAGCTCTGACTAACATAAACTGTAATAACTGAAGCATTTCTAAACAAACCAACCAATAAACAAACACAACAACAAACCTCAATATAACCCAGAATGAAAGAATAAAGAATCCTAAGCAGACAAAGGAGATGTGCTTGTGTGCTTAAATGTAAAAACTTAATATTTCTTAGAAAATTCATTTCTGTAATACAGCTTTTCTCCTGACAATGCAAAATAGTTACTGTTACTGAGTCAAGTCCCATATCTATAAAACTGAAAGATCTTAATTAATTAATACTATGTTGATAACTAACCAGATTCTCCTCTAAAGATTTTTTTTGCAAATACATAAGCATTAAAAGGCTAGAATTCCATTCAATACTTATTTTCCATGTTTCATCTATATAGCCAAATTCTCACAATGGAATAAACAGATGATGTATCATAGAATTGTGTACCTGAAACCTATATAATTTTGTTGACCAATGTCACCCTAATAAATTTAATTTTAAAATTCTCTATCTAGCGCCTGGCCGGTTTGGCTCAGTGGTTGGAGCATTAGCCTGTGGACCAGAGTGTCCCTGGTTCAGTTCCTGCTAGGGGCACGCACCATAAAAAAAAAAAAATCTCTAATTCTTTGTCTTTAAAAATAGAAGTTATTAAAGATCTTTATTAATTTTTACTCTAAGCCAAGCTGAGAATCTTACCAGATATATATCGACCTGGGTTACTCCTGAAGCGGTCATCCACTAGAATAAGAGCTCCCCAATCATGTTTGTGTCGAATACATCTATAAAATATAGGAAGAAAATAAAATAGGTATAACTTTAAAAATAAAAGCTGAATTATTTTATTTTCACCTGAGGACATTTTTTCATTTTTTTGTTCAGATAGAGTAGGAGGGAGAGAGAGGAAGAGAGAGAGAGAGAGAGAAACATTGACGTGAAAGGGACACATCGAGTGGCTGCCACCCGCATGACCCAACCAGGGCTGGGGACAAACTGCAACCAAGACACGTGCCCTTAGCGGGAACCGAACCCAGGTCTCTCTGGACCGCAGGCTGACGCTCTAACCACTGAACCAAATTGGCCAGGGCAAAAGCTAAATTTCTAATGAGACAGAAGACTAAGAAAGTCATTGATTTATATTCCTTCAATCAAATTCATATATATTCCTTTAAATCAAACTCATTATTATGTAAAAGGTTATAGAAACTACTCAATACACTGTAGCAAAGGAGACGTATTAAAAAATCCCCTACTTCTGTTGACCACTGATGACTCATGTCCCAAAATGTTATATGCATTTCATTTCGAAAGTTAAGAAAATATATTTTCCAAAATTTTCCTTAGCCACACAAACTATTTTCTACCTCGCATATTATATTAGTTGTCAATTTTATGTAGATGACCTTTTTTCTAGTTTAATGAGTTTTTATCGTAAGTGAATGTTCAATTTTATAATACTTGATATGCACCAATTTATATGCTCATGTAGTTTTTCCTCTTTAGATTGTTAATGTGGTGAACTACATTGACAAAATTTTGAATATTGAGCCTGCCTTTAATTCCTAGGATAGCCACACATGGTCATGGTGCACTATTCTTTTTATAGATTGTTGTATTTGATTTGCAAAAAAACAAATATTTATTAAAAATTTCTTCTATATTAAGTATATGATACAGTGTTTTTTTAGTACATATACAAGGTTGTGTAACTTACACCACTATTACACAACATTCTTATCTCATAAAAAAAAAAACACAACAGTGCCCATTATTTGTCACTTCCAGTTACTCTAATTATTCTCCCTAACCCCTGGCCACCACTAATTTACTTGTCTTTATAGATTTGCCTATTTTGGACATTTCTGATAACAAATCATAAAATATGTGGCATTTTGTATCCAGCTTCTTTTGCATAGCATGAAGTTTTCAAGGTTTCTTGTATTGCATATCGATACTTTTATCCTATTTTTGGCTGAATAATATTCTACTCTATGGATATACCACATTCTGTTAATCCATTTATAAGTTAATGGGCATTTGGACTGTTTCAACTTTTAGATGATTATAAATAATGGGGCTGTGAACATCTGGGTACAAGTTTTTGTATGAATACATATTTTTTAATTCTCTTGGGTATATACCTGGGATTGGAACTTCACACTCAAAAAAATTTTTTTTCTGGCCAAGAGACATATGAAGAAATACTCAACATCACTAATCATCAGAGAGATGCAAATTAAAACAACAATGAGGTATCATCTCACACCTGTCAGAATGGCCGCCATCAACAAATCATCAAACAACAAGTGTTGGCGAGGGTGTGGAGAAAAGGGGACTCTAATACACTGCTGGTGGGAATGCAGACTGATGCAGCCGCTATGGAAAACAATATGGTGTTACCTCAAAAAGTTAAAAATTGAACTGCCATTTGACCCAGTGATCCCACTGCTGGGAATATACCCTAAGAAGCCTGAAACACCAATTAGGAAGAATATATGTACCCCCATGTTCATAGCACCACTATTTACAATAGCTAAGATCTGGAAACAGCCCAAGTGTCCACCAGTAGACGAATGCATAAAAAAGCTGTGGTACATATACACAATGGAGTACTATGCAGCGGTAAGAAAGAAAGATCTCTTATACTTTGAGACGACATGGAGGGACCTGGAAAGTATTATCCTAAGTGAAAGAAGCCAAGCAGAAAAAGACAAATACCACATGATCTCACTTATATACAGAATATAATGAGCATAACAGTCTGAGGAATACAGTAGACCCAGAAACATGGAAGTAGGGCCAGACTGACATCCCTCAGAAGGGGGTGGGGTGGGGGTGGGAAGAGATAAACCACAGAACTTATATGCATGTATGCATGACCAATGGACATGGACAACTAAGCCGGGGATGGGACGGGGGTGGGGTGGGGAGGGGGTGCCAATGGGGTAAAAAAGGTGAAATATCTGTAACAAAAAAATAAATAAAAAATTTAAAAAAAAAGTATATAATAGCAAAAAAAAAAAAAAATTTTTTTTTCTTTATTGATTTTAGAGAGAGAGGAGGGGAGAGGAAGGGAGAGATAGAAACATCGATGAGAGAGAACATCGATTGGCTGCCTCCTGCATGCCCCCCACTGGGGATGGGGCCCACAACCTAGGCATGCGCCCTGAATGGGAATCGAACCAGTGACCTCTTGGTGCATGGGTCAATGCTCAACCACTGGGCCACACTGTCTGGGCAAAACTGCACACTTTTAAAGAAAGAACCCAATGGAAATTTTGGAGATGGAAAGCATAATATCTGAGTAGAAATAATCAATTTAATTAAAGATAAGTTAATTGAGATTATCCAGTCTGAGGAACAGAAAGAAAAGAATGAAAAATAAAGAACTGATATCACATAGCAAAATAATTATGTACATGTAGACATTTTCTTTATAAATTCTCTCTCATTATTAATATTCTCTACTTGGTTAAGACATCACTCTCAGTTTTCTCTAGTTTTTTTTTAGACATAATTTTCTTAGTTCTTTGATCATATTTAAAACAGCTTTATATACTAAATATAATATTTGGACTTCCTTAGAGATACTTTCTATTTATTGCTCTTCCCCTTGTGTATTGGGCATACATTCTCCTTTCTTTGCACATGTCATAAAACAGTATATTTTAAATAATATAACGTGGCAAATGTGGAAATCAGATTCTTCCCCTTCTTCAAGGATTTTTGTTGTTGCTCTTGTGACTTTTCTGAAATAATTCTGCATCGGCCTACAAAGCCTGTATTCTGTCATGTGTGATTATTGGTAGATTAGCTTAGTGATAGATCAATAATTAGAGATTTCCTTAAACATCCAGAACCAATACGTCTCCCATTCTTTGCCAAGAGACTTTGCATGTGTTTTTGACCAATCTTCAGCCAGGCAGTTAATAACTCTGCCTTAGCCTTCACTTCCTACTTCAGCAGAGCCTCCAGATCAACCAGAGGTGAGAGCTTAGGGCCTTCACAGGTCTTTCCTGAGCATGTGCACATTCCTGGTCGTGGGGAAAGTCATATACACATGCATGGCTCATTAAAGTCCAGAAATATGTCAGAAATTTTAAAGCTCCCCTATGGACATCTCATTTACTAGCTTTTCAGTTAGCCTATTACTTGCTCTAGTTTTCATTCATTGTCTCAGGAAACAATGGCCTGGGTAAGCTCTGAGTCAAGTCAAATAAGAATAGCCTTGTGATTAAGGTCTTCCAGGGGACCAGCAGACAGGTTCCATAATGACAATTCTCTAGGAATAAGATGCAGCCCCTCCTGTGGCTAGCAGGTTGCTGGCTTTAACCATAATATAAGGCTACTGTGAACTTTCTAGAAGAGAGCATATAGAATTGGTGCCAGTGAGAGCCCATCTAGTTGGATATTTTTTTCAGAGGGTGTTTAACTGTGAATTAAATTTCTTTAATAGAGGACTATTCAAGAATACTTCAACTTTAGTTTTGTACTTTGTGAGTTTTTGGGAATCAAAATTGTTGAATGTATATGTATAGGGTTTTCTCCATATTATTATTTTAAAGTCTGTGGGGCAACTCTGGCTGGTTTGGCTCAGCGATTAGGGCATCGGCCTACAATCCAGAGAGACCCGGGTTCGGTTCCTGCTAAGGGCACGCACCTCGGTTGCAGTTTGTCCTCGGCCCTGGTTGGGTCAGGGCTGTGCAGGAGGCAGCCACTCGATGTGTCCCTTTCATGTCAATGTTTTTCTCTCTCTCTCTCTCTACCTCCCACTCTATCTGAACAAAAAATGAAAAAATGTCCTTGGGTGAGGATAAAAAAAAAAAAAGTCTGTGGGGTACACAGTAATATCACCTCTTTTATTCCAGATATTAGTAATTTGGGGCTTCTCTTTTTATTCCTTGTCAATTTACCAAGAGGCTGTTGATTTTATATGACATTCCTTTTTGATACAATTTTTGAGTAATCCATGCTTCTGAGGTATCAGACCATAAAATTAGGGAGAATGGGAAGATGGATATTGCCAGTATTATAGAACAGTGTTGAAAACCAACAGAAAGTGAGAATGCCACCCTGTTTTGGTTCTACTATAGTTTATATTTAAAGTGCCCTATAGAAGAAAGGCATTTAAGTTAATGAGAGAGTTTAGAAAAAAGTTTTCACCTTTTCATTTTTCCATTGTTTTCATACTGCCTTACTCAAATGAATTATGCCCACTTGAGACAAAGATTATACTTTTAGTAAAGCAGATCTGTTAGGAAACTCACAATGCAGTTAAAACTTGGTCACAAAACCATATGGTACACTCCCGAAGGCTGTTATTACATTTCATGAACTTATATTACTTCAAATACTCTAATAATCCCACATGGTCTTAGAAAAAGATAACAGTTTTTAAACACAATTTGTTTGTTTATTTTAGACCCTCTAGACATACCTGTTGTAAGGATAGTGCCTGAGTATAAGCACCTTTAATGTCAATCAACACACACTATGAGTTTTATCAAATGATGTAAAATATTTACTTTATTTTTATTTTTTTTAAATGTTTTCTCTTTATTGATTTTTAGAGAGAGAGGAAGGGAGAGAGAGAGAGAGATAGAAACATCGATGAGAAAGAACATCGATTGGCCGCCTCCTACATGCCCCCCACTGGGGGTCAGGCCCATAACCTGGGCATGTGCCCTGACTGGGAATCAAACCACTGACCTCTTGGTGCATGGGTTGATGCTCAACCACTGAGCCACACTTGTTGATACTGTTTCTCTTAAAATCAGTACAATGACAGTTGGGCTTCCCATTTTTTAAATTAATAAAATACTAAAGCTACAGTACTATATATCAATATTAAAAACACACCCTTTTATATATTTTTTATTTTTATTTTTTTATCCTCACCTGAGGACATTTTTCCATATTCTGTTCAGATAGAGTGGGAAGGGGTGGGGAGAGAGAAAGAGAAACATCGACATGAAAGGGACACATCAAGTGGCTGCCACCCGCACAACCCAACCAGGGCTGGGGACAAGCTGCAACCGAGGTACATGCCCCTAGTGGGAACCGAACCTGGGTCTCTCTGGACCACAGGCTGACGCTCCGACCGCTGAGCCAAACCGGCGAGGGCAACACACCCTTTTTTAAATTAAATTCTAGAAAAGTATGTCTAGAAGCTCTCTGACCAATATGGTATAGTGAAAAAAAGCACTGATGCCCGGCTGGTGTGGCTTGTGGATTGAGCGTCATCTTATGGACTAAGAAGTCCCAGTTCGATTCCCAGTCAGGGCATGTACCTAGGTTGTGGGCTCGATCCCCAGTAGGGGGCATGCAGGAGGCAGCCAACTGATGTTTCTCTCTCTCTCTCTCTCTCTAAAAATCAATAAAAACATAGTAAAAGAAAAAAAGCATTGAACCTGGCATTTTCCACTAATTCAACAAACATTAATTAAGCATCTATGCCCCAAGCTGAGAGTTGTTGCTGAGAATACAAAAATGTATAATACATGTTTAGGGAAGGAAACAGAGAAATAACAGGCTATTATAATACAATGAGATCTATGCTATAATAGAGATAATGTATAAAATGCTATGGGTTTCCTAAAGAAAAATAATTTTAGTTGGAGAAGTAAAAAGAGTCTTCATAAAAGATAAGATTTTCAACTAGGTTTTGATTGGTAAACTTGCCAAATGAATTGTACGGCAGTTTGTACACTAAGGCAGAGAGTAATGAAAGGATATGATATGTTTAATAGTGAGAACTTAGCAGATAGAAGTAAGGTACAAGGATGAGAAAAACACGTCTTGAGGTTTTAAAAGTAGGTGGGTCCAAGATGTTAAGGCCCATTTACTAGCTGTGTGATGTTAGATAAGTAACTCCATCTCTCACAATATTGTATGTAAAAAGGTTTATAAATGACAAAGATACAAATGTATCGTCATACTTTCCTTAACAATGAGGATACGTTCTGAGAAATGCATCATTAAGAGATGTCGTCCTTGCGCCGACATCAGAGAGCATGTGCACAAGCCTTGGCTATGTGGTATAGCCTATCGCTGCTAGACCACAAACCTGTACATCATGTTACTGTACTGAACACTGTAGGTAATTGCAACACAAATACTTATGTATTTGACCAATATGGTATAATGAAAAAATACTTATGTATTTACATATCTAAAAATAAAAGAGATACAGTAAAAATATGGTATAAAAGATAAAAATGATACACCTACATAGGGCACTTGCCATGAATGGAGCACATAGAACTGGAAGTTGCTCTGGGTGAGTCAGTGACTCAGTGGGTGAGTGAATGTGAAGGCCTAGGACATTACTGTACACTACTGTAGACTTTATAAACTCTGTCCAACCCCTGCTTCCTTCCAACAGGATGAGAAATAGAACATCGAAGCTGTCAATGCTGCTTCATGAATAGGAATGTGGGCTGGACTGACTGTAAATATTAAGAAGAAACTGACTGGGTAAGGTGGAGATCACATGAATAGTAACCATAAAAGATGGCCAAAGAATCAGTAGGATTAAGAAATCAAGAAAAGGAACTAGGGAATTACCATGGCCATGTGGCTTTGGCTACTGCATGTTGGAGCAGCAATCAGATTAGAAATTTTGTGGTATCATAAAAAAAAAAATCGGTGTTTAAAATGGAGAGGGTATAGAACTGAGAATGCAATACAGCATGGGGCAAAAGTAGGTTTACAGTCGTGCATATGACAAATAACACAATTAATAAATAATAATACAAGAATAAACTTTCACGTACTCAAAACTGTAAACCTACTTTTGCCCCACCCTGTATTTTGGCTTTGGAAATTTGTTTTTGGTTCTATGGACTCTATCTGACCCAAAGTGCTCTCTCTGGCATTGAATTGATGGAAGAAATAAAAGTTACCTGTGCTTTACATTATTACAACCTAAAAATATTTCCAAAGTACAGGCACAGGCTGGCTCCACACCACAGAGCTTCTACTGAAGTGGCAGTGGCACTTAACTTATTGAGATAGTTTCTGTGGACATGTGTCCCTGTATAGGGTCTTAGGTCTTCAACAAAGAATTTTTTAGCACTGTACTCTGGAGACCATCAAGCTAGGTCTGGGAGGGCTGTAACATCCTCTGAATATGTAGTGATAGAGGGACAGACTCCTCTGTGCTGAAAGAGGTCAATGGCTGACTGGGATGTAATCTGTGCCCTTAAAATCATCGAGATGCTGTATGTGTGAGGGAATCTACTGCCAAGCCCCACAGATATTGCTTCCGTAAAAGAAAAAAAAATTCCTACTAAATCACATATCATTGCATTTCTTTCTTTCTTTCTTTTTTTTAAAGAATCAGAGAGTTGGAGAAGCTGATTTTTTTAAATTATTTTTTTTTCTTTATTGATTTTAGAGAAAGGAAGGAAGAGGGAGGGAGAGAAATAGAAACATCGATGAGAGAATATCAATTGGCTGTCTCCTGCATGCCCCCACTGGGGATTTGGCCCAAACCTGGGCATGTGCCCTGACCGGGAATCGAACCGGTGACCTCTTGGTGCATGGGTCAATGCTCAACCACTGAGCCACACCAGCCGGGCTCATTGCATTTCTTACAGGAAAGCTCTACTATACTCTTATGGGACCACCCTCATATATGTGGTCTGTTGTTGACCAAAATGTTGCATTGCTTATATTAAAAGGGAAAAAAAAAATCAACTGAGTAAGAATATTTATTTTCCTAAAATTAAGTATAGTGTAACTAAATGTCAGTAATTTTAAATATTTAGGCTCCCCTAAAAACTATTTGCTGAATATTAAAATAAAAACAAAACAAAACATAACATAACAGGCCAATGAACAGGTAGAGACAAAGTAAGCAGATGAAATGCAGTGCAACTTGATGCCAAGTACCAATGGAATTCCTAAGCAGAGAACAGCAACAGTTTAACCATGTCAGTAGATTAACCATAGAACTAAATCATTCAGTTTGAAGAGAAACACCTACAGAATAGCAATCTGAAATGATGGGGAGGAAAGGGGTGATGTGTTCTGGAACATACATTCAGCTGCTGCAGTCCTATGTCATCAGCTGTATGTAAATCTGAACTTAAATGCAATCTGGTCTGCTTATGTGTAAATGAACTAATGTGAATGAAGAAGATATTTGAGAAAAATCTAAATTCTAAATCTGGCTAGGTCAGATAACGGTAGCTGTGGGTCTTCTGACTGAACTAAAAATATGTCAAATGGTCATGCATTCATGATTTTACTGTTAACCTGTATTTTTTTTTTCTTTATTGATTTTTAGAGAGAGAAGAAGGGAGAGATAGAAACATCGATGAGAGAGAACATCAACTGGCCACCTCCTGCATGCCCTCAACTGGGGATCAGGCCCACAACCTGGGCATGTGCCCTGACCAGGAATCGAACTCGCGACCTCTTGGTGCATGGGTCAATACTCAACCACTGAGCCACACCGGCTGGGCTTAACCTGTATTTGTTTATTTGACATATCCGAATGCCTTACAACCTCACAGGAAAAAAATTATTAAACAGTCAAACTAATTACAATTTCATAAACAGAGAATATAAAATATTAAATATCTAATAATTGGTGTTTATAAAAGAAATATTTGCCCTAAATATGAAATTATGGTACAAAATGGTGATTCAAAAACTAGTTTCATAAAGTAAAAATCTTTTTTTTTTAATCCTCACCCGAGGATATTTTCCCATTTACCTTCAGATAAAGTGAAAGGGAGGGAGAGAGAAACATTCACGTGAGAGGAAAACATCAACTAGTTGCTTCCTGCTTGACCACGACCAGGGCTGGGGACGAACCGCAACCGAGGTACATGCCCTTGACTGGAATCGAACCCAAGACTCTTTGGTCCGAGGGCTGACACTCTAACTGCTGAGCCAAACCAGTCAGGGCCATAAAGTACAAATCTTAATGCATCAGCATTCTTAGAAAAAGGAGTATTATTTAAATTTTATTGTCAGTTGGTGTTGATCCTTTAGTATCAAAAGCATGGTTTGATTTAACCCTTCTTAAATGGTTTGCTTTTCATTCATAAAATCATCATCTGAGTTTGATGAACATATGATAAAAATTTTATTGTTTGGTAGTAAGCTTCTGTAAACATTTACTGAATACCTTTGTGTGACATTCAATGTTTGAACAATCAAAAATCTTTAAATTTAGCAAAATGAGTCTTATTTGGGGTTTCATTTATTCCACTGGTTCTTTGCAACTTTCACCTGTGACATCTACCATTGAAAATATACCAGTTCCTAGTGTTCTAGTGAAATAAAGCCTATCAAATTTATTTCAAGGAGTAAAGTAGTAAGAATAGCTCTACATAGAACCACGCTCACAGATAATATTACAGTAACATTACATTAAATTTCACTCCACTTACCTACCTAGGGCCTGGTTTAAGGCCCTGTATGCTTGAATTTCATACCATTGACGACCAGGTAAAAGACCTCTCAATTTTGAATGCTGGTCATTATACTGGCGCTTTAGTTCAACCTAGTAATTTAAAAATATATTAAAAGTACAGTCAATAATTAAAGCTCATTATAAAAAAATTATATTAACTTCTAACATTTCAAACACCATTTTAGTAGGATAGTTTTTATTTTTCAGTACTAAATTTGTTTTAGTTCATTTAAAACATTTTTTTTTACTTTCTTATTAAATTTATTGAGGTGATGTTGGTTAACAAAATTATGTAAGTTTCAGGTGTACAATTCCATAATACATCATCTGTACATTGTATGTGTTTACCACCCCAAGTCATCTGTTCATCCTTACATTCCGCAGTAAACTCTCCGACAATGCTTAGTAATATTTAAAAAAAATATATCTCCTATAGCAAGAGAAACAAAAGAAAAAATAAACAAATGGGACTACATCAAACTAAAAAGTTTTTGCATAACAAAAAACAATCAACAAAATGAAAAGAAAACCTACTAAAGAGAAGATATTTTCCCATGATACATCTGATAAGGGGTTAATAGCCAAAATACTGTATTTAAGGATCTCATACAATTTAACTCCAAAAAGACAAACAATCTAATTAAAGAAAAGTGCAGAGAACCTGAATAGACATTTTTTCAAAGAGGACACAGATATAGCCAATAGACATATGAAAAGATGCTCAGCATCACTAATCAACAGAGAAATGCAAATTAAAACCAAACTGAGATATCACTTCACACCTGTCAGAATGGCTATCATCAATAAATCAATAAACAACAAATTTTGGTAAGGATGTAGAAAAAAGGGAACCTCCCTGGCCGGTTTGGCTCAGCAGTTAGAGCATTGGCCTGTGGTCCAGAGAGACCCAGGTTTTGTTCCCGCTAAGAGCATGTACCTCGGTTGCAGTTTGTCCCTGGCCCTGGTTGGGTCATGCAGGTGGTAACCACTTGATGTATCCCTTTCACGTCGATGTTTCTCTCTCTTCCTCTCTGTCCTCCCACTCTATCTGAACAAAAAATGGAAAAATGTCCTCGGGAAAGGATAAAAAAAATAAAAAAAATAAAAAATAAAAAAAAGCGAGAAAAGGGAACCCTCATGAGCTGTTGGTGGGACTGCAAACTGGTGCAGGCATTATGGAAAACATAGAGGTTCCTAAAAAAATTAAAAATAGAATTACCACATGACTCAACAATCCCACTTCTGAGTATTTATCCTAGGAGATCCAAAACACTAATTAAGAAAGATATATTATGTATCCTTATGTTCACTGCAGCATTATTTACAATAGATGAGATGTGGAAGGAACAACCTAAGTGTTCATCAATAGATGATTGGATAAAGACGACGTGGTACATATACACAATACAGAATATTACCCCATTAAAAAAAAGATTGAAATTTTACCATTTGTGACAACATGGATGGACCTAGAGGATATTAGGCTAAGTGAAATATGAAAAACAAATGACAAACAAAACAGAAACTCATATTAGAGAACAAACTGATGGTTGCCAAGTGGAAGAAAAGTTGGGGGACTGGGTGAAAAAGTTGAAGAGATTAAGAAGTAAAAATTGGCATTCACAAAACAGTCACAGGGCTATAAAGTACAGCACAGGGAATACAGCCAATAATATTGTAATAACTATGTATGGTGCTGGGTGAGTATGCAACTTATCGCATGGATCACTTCATTAGTTATATAAAGGTCTAACCACTACGCTATACATCTGACTAGATACAATATTGAATGTCAACTAACTGAAAAATAAAAATCTTTTAAAAAACATATAAAGATCAATTGTAATTCTATACACTAACAACAAACTATACAAAACAAAACATGAAAATAGAAAAACAATCCATTTACAATAACATCAAAAAGAATAAACTATTTTGAAATAAATTTAACAAAGGAAGTGAAAGATCTTTACACTGAAAACTGTAAGATGATGAAGGAAATTAAAGAAACACAAATAAACGGAGAGATCCTATGTTGTGGATTGAAAGAATTAGTATTGTTAAAATGTCCTTGGTATGCAAAGTGATCTACAGATTCAGTGCAATCCCTGTCAAAATCCAAACAGCACTTTTTACAGAAATAGAAAAACAATCCTAAAATTTCTGTGAAACCACAAGAGAACTCCAATAGCCACAGCAATACTGAGAAAGCTGAACAAACAAACCTGGAGGCATCGCACTTCCTTATTTCAAACTATATTATAAAACTTTAGTAATTAAAATCGTATGCCATTGGCATAAAATCAGACATACAGACCAATGGAAAAGAATAAAGATGCCAGAAATAAACCCACGCATATATTCTTAACTAATCTTTGACAAATATATCAAGAATACACAATAAAAAAAAAGGATAGTATCTTCAAGAAATGTTTGAAAAATTGGATATGTACATGCAAAAGATTAAAACTAAATCCTTATCTTACACCATACATGAAAATCAACTCAAAATGAATTAAAGATTTAAATGTATAACCTGGGACCATAAAACTCCTAGAAGAAAATGAAAAAAGTTCCTTGACATTGGTCTTGGCAATAATTTTTTTGATATGACACCAAAAGCATAGACAACAAGAGCAAAAATGAACAAGTAGGACTACATCAAACCAAAAGGCTTCTGCATAGCAAAATAAACAATCTACGATACGAAAACACAACCTATAGAATGTGAGAAAATATTTGCAAACCATATATCTGATAAGAGGTTTATAATAAAAATATGAAGACACACAAATGGCCAACAGGTATATGAAAAGGTATTTAACATAACTAATCATCAGGGCAAATTAAAACCACAATGAGGTATCATTTTATACTTATTTAGATGGCTATTATAGAAAAGACAAGAAATAAGCATTTGGTAAGGGTATAAAGGGAACCCTTGTATACTGTTGGTGGGAATGTAAATTGGTAGAGACATTATGGAAAATAGTATGGATGTTCCTCAAAAAATTAAAAAATAAGATTACCATATAATCCAGCAATCCCATCTCTGAGTATATATCTAAATGAAATAAAATCACTATCTTGAAGAGTTGTGTGCACTGTCATAGTCACTGAAGCATTATTTATATAGCCAAGATACGGAAACAAACCAAGTGTCCATCAATGAATGAATGAAGAAAGAAAAGGTTATATATATATAAAATGTATGTGTGTGTGTATATATATATATATATAATTATTAATCATCACAAAAGAGAAGAATGTCCTGCCATTTGCAGTATCATGGTAAACGTGGAGGACATTATGCTAAGTGACATAAGCTAGAGAGAAAGAAATACAACCATGATCTCACATATATGTAGAATCTGAAAGGCAAATCACTGAATCGAGAGTAGAATGATGGCTGGCACCACTGTTGAGGTGGAGGGTGGGGGTGGTAGAGAAAATGGGAAATGTTGGTCAGAGTACAAAATTTCAGTTATAAGATGATAAGCTCTGGAAATCAAATGTACAGCATTATGGCTATTCTCAATAATAATGTATTGTATACTTAAATTCTGCTAAGACAGTAGACCTTAAATGTTGTCATCACACACTCAAAAAATAGCAACCTTGTTAGGTGATGGACATGTCAATTAACCTGATTATAATAATGTATAAGTATATTAAGTCATCACATTTTACACCTTAAATATATAATTTCTGTTTGTCAATTATACTTAAAAGAAAAAACTGGGGGGTGGGGGGGTGGGGTTCTTATAATGTATGGCAGACTTTCCACTGACCTTGATCCTGAGTCTTGGAAAGCTGGACCTCTCACTTCTTGATTAAAAATCTTTCACAGCCCCAAACCACATAAATAACATTGAAAGGCAAATTAAAAACTGGAGAAAAGTTTTGTCATCAAATATGCAATGAGCTCATACACATGCTCAATAACAAAACCTGAGCTACCTACCTAAGAGAAAAGTGAGTAATGTCTATGAGAAAGCAAGTCATCAAAAAAGAATGATAAATGGCTGGTAACCCACATGAAAATATGCTTAACTTTACTAGTAAACAAAGAAATATAAATTTAACAATCCCATTGTTTTTATTTGTACAATACTGACAAATATTTACCAGGTGTGCTTCTATTTTCCCACAAGTACAGATAGATAATATGTACAGACAGTCACTGTATCTTTGTTTGTATTGAAGAAAAACAGAGAACAACCTAAATGTCTATCAAATGGATCAATTTAACATTTTATATATATTGTGAGATAAATACTGGCTTATTAAAAAACAGATTTATATGTTTTGACATGGAAATTTGGCCAAAACACACACACACACACACACACACACACACACACACACAGCCAGTTATTATGTTAGGAATAAGGACTACAATTTAGAGCAATGTCAATTATAAACCAGCCTGCCAAAAGACTTAAACCAAACCCTGACAAGAACCACAGGGAGACAGAGTTTAAGGGTTGTGTACTTTGAGGTTTTCCCAGATCTCCCCTAACAAACTATCAAATCATGCCCATATAAGTTTAAGATAACTGGTTACTAACTGACCTTGCTACACAAAAAAACCCACAAAAATATTCTTCAGAGAATAACAGAATCCAGAATCACTATAATGTACCAACTATAATGTCCAGCATACAATATTAGAAAAATATGGCTCATAATCAAGGTGAAAAATGTAGTCAGTAGAAACCAATCTAGAAAGGGCCCATAGCTGTTGGAATTAGCAGACAAAGACTTTAAAGTAGCTGTCATAAATATATTTAAATAACTTAAAAACATGGTTTAATGAATAAACTTTGGAGCATCTCAACAGAGAAGTGGAAATTATAAAAAAAGAAACAAATGGAAATTCTAAACCTTAAAAATATAGTAATAAAAATTCATTGGATGGGCTTAATAGCATATTGGAGAAGGCAGAAGAATTAGCTAGTAAATCTTAAGACAGATCAAAAGAAGCAATGAAACATCAACTAGAGCAAAATAACTTCATATACAACAAAGACACTGGTGTAAAAGAATTAAAGCATATGAAAGCAGCCAGTAATGATCTAATCAAATTT